CTGGGGGGTGACAGGGGGCTCGGGGGGGGGGCACCCCTGGGTGTCAGGGGGCAGAGCCCCCCAGGGCTCCATCCCCGCAGCCCCTCCTGCCGAGCTCCTCGGCACAGGCTTCAGACTCCGCTTCGCTTTTCTTAGTTGCTAAAAAAGAGAAAGAGACTAAGCGGAGGAAGGTCCCCCGTGCCGTGTGCGGGGAGAGGCCGGGCAGGGGGGGGGGCTGAGACCCAACGAGCTCATCACAGCAGCAGAGGCCGGGGAGGCGGAGGAGCAGCGGGCCGGGGGAGGGAAATGGAGGAGAAACCGGCTGCGAACAAAGGGAGCGTGACGGGACTGGCCCGGCCCCGGCGTGAGGGGAACAAAAAATAAACTGCAGAGAAGAAGGAGAAGTCGATGAGGTTTCCAGGCGGCCGGGGCTTTTGTCGGCATCTCTGGGATGGGGGATCCGGGCTGTGCCAAGGGGTGTCAGTGGAGCTGTTGGCTGAGCATCCCTCCCGGAGCCGGGGATGCTCCTTTGCCGAGGAGCTGGTCCCTGGGGCTGGAGGGACCCGGAGCACCTTTGTCCCCTTGGTCTCATCATCTTTCCTTCTCTTATCTAGAAATGCCATTTCAAAATTGCCCCAGCTTTAGATATTTGAAGAATTTGGGTCTAAGGTTTGGGAGAATCTGGCTCTAAGGTTTGGGAGGCTTGCTCTAAAGCTTTTTTTTTTTTTTTTTTTTTCTGTAATATCAAGTTTTATGTATTTTCCACAGTATGTCAGGACAATCACCAGCACAGGCTGCAGCTGGTGCTGCTACGGGCCAGCCAGGACCGGGGGGAGCAAAGGATGTGCTCCCCACACCTTCTGCTCGGGGACACGGGCTGTGCCCCACGTCTGTGCCCTGTGGGGACTGAAGTGCTATAATGATTACACTTGGACTCTTTTATGCTCTAAGCCAGACACAAGGCATCAAGAAGGGAAGTTTCGGGGTGCTGTCTGTGCTGGGAAGGCAGGGGGTGGGCAGGGGCTCAGCTCCATGGTGCTGGGTTTGGGGCTGCAGGATGGGGATGGGTCCCACCGGCCTTAGCACCGACCCTCCAGTAGGAAAGGAGAGAAGAAGCTTTCAGGGCATAAAATGGGGAGTTAAGAGGGGAAAAACGGTGGCCAGCCCTCTGGGCACGTTGCTTAGGAGAGGGCAAAGGGGTGTTGTGCTGCAGTGACACGCTCTGTGCGGGGACACCGGGGTGTCAGCCCTTCCAGGGGGTGGGCAGCTCCCCCAAAGGAGCACCATCATGAACCCCATAATAAACAATGGCTTGGGACTAATAATAGGATTCTTCTTTTTTTTTGTTATTGTATTATTTTATTTTTTTTATTAAGAAGATGAGATTAACCAGCTGAAGTTAACAAACTCTGAAACTCAACAAACCCGGATGAATCACCAGGCACAAACGAGGCCATCGGCCCTCCGAAGGGCACCCATTGACTCACTTCAAACTCAAAGAGCAACTTTTGACAAACACTCCATCAAAAAACTGGCTAATGCTTGTTTCGTTCTTAATCCTCCCTGAGCTGTTTCCCTGTTGCTAATCTCTCCCAGAAACCATTATTAAATCTTTCCTGGTTTTGCAGCGCTAATTCTGAACAAATGCACGGGGAACAAAACATCAGCTGGGGCTGTCTCTCTCTGCTATTTGTGTGCTCCGCAGGAAAATCGTTGTGTTTTTAATGAGGCTAATTAAAAAGAAACAAAAAATAATAAATCAATCCCATTAATCTGTAATAAATTGAAGCGCCGCGGTCCTTCCCAAAGCGCTGGTGACTGCCAGCTCCCACCACGCTGGGAGGCAAATCTTTCTTTTTGTTGTTATTTAGCACATCCCGGGGATGCTCCCGTAAGGCCGGGGCCTGGAGCCCCCCTGGGAGCTGGAGGATCCCTCTGGAGCTCCTCTCCATCCCTGGCATCTCCCCGCTGCCGTGTCCGGGCTCCGTGTCCCACCAGGGGAAGGTAAGAGCCACATCCCCCCCGAGTCCCCCCCCCCAGCCCACTGCAACGGGCGGGCACCGTCCTAAAACTAACCTGCAAAATCTGCTTTGATAGGGCCCTGACAGCTAAAGCGGAATCAAATTATCCTGTGGAATTGCCACGAGATAATTGGCCTCGTTTACTATCTTAAAATATTTGGAGATGTAAGTAAGTAATTTGATTTCTTTCTCACATTATTGATTTAAAAATCATCTTCCTTAGAGACACGTCTTACTTGCCAAAAGGTAAATGCCTCTGTCTGCTGCTTTTTGTCTTTTCTGCTCTACTTGAAATGCTGCAGAACTGCCCCAGTCCCCCCCCTGCAGATTATAATGTTTGTAAAAGGGAAAAAGAGATGACAACGATCCCTTTCTCGCTCTCTCGTTAATTACAAGGATTAAATGCCAAGGCAGCTTCACAACATTAGAAAGAAAATAAAAATATGAATTGGAGGAGCCAAGTTCTGCGTTTTGCTGCTTCCCTCTCACGATGTGTCTGAGCACATGGCAGCGTGGGCGTCCAGGAGCACATCCCACGGCTCCCGGCCCCTTCCTGCTCCAGCTTCTCCCTTCCCATGCGCTGGAGCTCATCCATGCCGACGGCAGCCCCAGTTTGGGGGGACAGGAATGTGATGGAGACCAGGGTGTGGTGGGGAGAAGGGTTTGCTGCACACGTGGAGCTGCTGAGAAAAGGTGATTCCAGTTTGTATCTCTGGTGAGGAGGGAGAAGACCCCCCCAGGGAGCAAGGGGGGCTGGGGATGCATTAGCACAGGGCTGGAAAGAGAGGAGAAGCCGCAGCTGGGACCTGACCAGGGAAAGCTCTGCAGCTCTTCTGGAAGGCGAGGTCTTTCCCTGACCCCGTGGTGCAGATGCTTTTGGCTGTCCCCGTGGTGGGGGCTCGCAGGGCTGTCCCCCCATGTCCGGCTGCTCCTCCCATCCTCCGTGGGGATTTGGCTGCCCCTCAGTAGCTGGTCACCTCCACGGCCCTCTCCACCCATAACCTGACTCAGGAGTTGGAGCTGGTGGCTTGGGCTCCAGCCCCACGTCAGATGCTCAGGGGTTGGATCTGACCTGGATTTTTGGCACGGGAGAGCCCTGGATGGAGCATGGATGCGCCGACCGCTGTGCTCAGGTCTCGGGGGGATGCCCAGGACCCTGGTGGGGTTTCATCCCCCCCTTTTCCCCTTTGCCCTCGGTGTGGGCAGGGGTGGTGCTCCCCAAAGGGCATCTCCCACCCTCCTGCCCTGGCAGGGGCTGGGGTTTATTTCCCGGGGAAGGGGACACCTCTCATGGGGTGTTTGGTGGGGTCTCCTCTGCCCGACCCCCCCAGGCTGGGGGTTTTTCACCAGCAGGGTTTGTGTGAAAGCCCTTCCCAGTCTCCCCCGTGCTGGTTTGTGGGGGAAGCGCTGGCCGTGGCTCTGGGCTGTCTCACACTCTGCCTCAGCTTGTAATTAAAAATGAAATATTTGGGCTAAGTGCTTAAATTAAGAGCACATTTTTGTTAGTTAACAATACAGAGGAAAGCCCCGGAGACCCTGATAGGGAAATTAGTGCCTCTCCACTTGCGTTGGAGATGAATCTTTTGAGAGAGGAAGCCTGTTCATTCCAGAGGATTTTTTGGTACAAAAACGCAATTACAGAGTGTAAAAGGAAGCGTTTAGGAACATGCAAAGTGGGAATGAGTTCTGAAGCCACCTTTGCTGCAGGACAGGGAAGGCAGAAGGTGGGACGTGCCCCTGGCACGACATCCCCTGACACTTCCCCGTCCAACCTGCCGGCTCCTGGCAGCGGCTCCCGGTTCATGTCCCTCCTCCCGTCCACCTCTCCTGGCCTCTCTTCAGGGCTCATCCCCTTGGCCTCAGCAAGCTCTCAGCTGCTGGGGAGGCCGGGCGGTTCCTATCCTCCTTGGCAATTATCTTCTGGGCTGCTGAGCACAAATAAGCTGAAACCACCTTCACGGTCCAAGAGAGCGGCTGCTGTTTGCTGGGGATGTTTCTGGGCTCTCTCCTCCTGCACAACGTTGCTTCCCCCCTGCTCCTCTCTCCCTCGAAGCAGCTCTGAACCTGGGGTGTGTGTGTGTGTGTTCAGAGCAAAGGCTGGGGCAGGTTCCCACACCTGGCCGTGACATTGGACCATCCCGTCCCAGGAGGGACAATACGGATGGTGACCAAGTCACGAAACCCTTCACCACTTCATGGGGTCCGAGAAGGCTCCCTCTGTGCCGCACAAAGTCCAAAGCCCAGCTGGTGGACACCAACCCACGGAGCCAAGGAGGGTGTGTAAGAAGTGGAGGTGGTGGAGGAAGGTGATGGTGACCCACACGGGGCAGGGCTGCTCATCCCATGCAGCGCCGGGTGACACGGGGCTGTTTGTCTTGGATGTACTGGGATGGACTGGAAAATGGCACTGACCTCTTGAGCAACACTGGGGTTCTTGGCCGCGCGGGCAGCGGCTCGGCTTGCGCTGAGTTTATGAGATCTGGTCTCTGAGATAATAAAAACACAGGAGTCCTCTCCAGCAGCCTTCCCCGAGGAGGAAGGGACCAGCGTGTCCGTGTCGCTGGAGGTTAAATACCAGCACATCACACTTCTTGTCTGCAAACGGGGCTGGGCTGTGGGCACGCGTTCTCCAATCAGTATATTTAGTTTGCTGAATTACTTTTATTGCTGGTTAACTGTGTAATGGTCTCAGTGGAACATCTGGTCCAGCATTTGAAAAGAGTATTCTTCAACTCTTGCTGAGTGCAATTATTTTTGGATACAAGTGGAGGCTTTAGAGCCATTAAGAAGATAAAATGCAGATTGTTTGCAGAGGTTTTTTTTAATTTTAATGGCTTTCAAATAGAGGAACTTTTATTATTTTTTTTCCCTATTGTTAGCAGGCAGTGCAGTGGGAAGCAAGCAGAGGGCTGGGGAGAGGCACAGACGTCCCCTTTGCCTTTGGCTGGGCCGGGCACCCAGACCCAGGGCAGAGGGTTTGAACCTCCCTCCCAAGCAGCTGGAATATTCTCCAAGTCTTGCAATAGCTCGTTTTCCCACCAGTTTCTTTCTAAAACCACCGAGGGTTGGTGTGGAGTGCCCCATATAATGATTTAAAAGCGTGTCGGTGGATGGGGTAAGGACTGTTTAGAAAACAGAAAATGAAGGGCTTTGTGCTTTCTTCCATTGATGGGAAAATCACAGATGGATCCCAAAGCTCTGACTCCCAGCCTCTGCCACTTCCTCCAGACCACAAAAGCAAACAGCCAATGTCCATTTTTTGGGCATGGTACACAGTGAGAGCAACTGGGACACCTTTATCCTCAAGCGTATATATTCTCAAAAAAAAAAGCAAGCATCAATTTATCAGCAGATAATAAGTTATCTCATGAGTTAAATGCAGTTAGTGCATTATGCCCCTCCATGGAGAGGGCTGGCTGACTCCTCTTTGTCTGCAAGAGCAGAGCTTTCAATTATTTAGAGGAAACTATACAATCTTGGCTGCTGTTTGCTATTATGATTGCACATTTGTCCCAGTGAAAACCGCAGGCAGACAGGCTGCAAAATTATGGCTGTTTTTCAATGGGAAGACAAAGTGAAACTGTTAAACCAGGTAAGGATGGATGCTTTTAGTTTATCCTGGGGGGACGTGGTTATAGGCAAGAGCACGGATTTGAGAAGGACTCTGATGGCATTGGAAGTGCCAAGGAATCAGTCATGGGATGAAGGAGAAATCTTGGCTTTGTGTGTTTTCAGGTGAAAAAGGCACTGCAGAGGGAGGTGGAGGAAAATGATGGAGGAGATGGAGGAAAATGAGGGAGGAGGGGGTGGCTCCTCGGCCCTTTCCTAAAAGCTTAAGAAGAAAAAAGGTGAAAACCAGCCACGACCTCAGGGTTGTGTGGACACTTTTCTTGTGGCTGGTTGATTGGTGGGGGCAGCTCTGCCAAGGCAATGGCTGTGTCACAGCAGGGTGGGAGTAAGGGTAGGAGGTCCCAGACTCCTGAACCTCCGGGATGCTCCCAACCTCATCTGTGGCTGCAGGCAGGGGGGCAGAGCTGGGTCCCCAAACTTCACTCTGAAGTCAACCAGGCACTCCTTTGGGTTGGGGCTTAGTGACAAGTTTCAAAAGGAAAACCTATGCCAAATGATGAGAATAATAATAATAATTAATAATCATCAGTGTTTCATTCCAGTACCTCTGTATACCTTGATTTTTTGGAAATGCCCTCATGTTTCAAATCTGCAAGGGAAAGAAAAGAAAAGGGAGCAAATTTCTCAATAGCAAACTGTTTTGCAGAATTGTTTGTTTTACTGAGGGGAGGGGGGGAAAGCCCTTTCAGCTTCAATCTGCAATTAAAATTGATAATTACAAAGCACCAGTAAATTGAGATGGTCAAAAACAAGGTGCAGCAGCAATCTATTGCTTCCCACCAGGTAGGGCTGCTGTAGGTGGGGAAGATCCTGCCTCTCCCCAGGCAGCCTTTGTGGCACCGTATCCCGGCTCAGCTTCTCCTGAGCTTTTTTTTTTTGGGTGTTTGTATTTGTTTTTCCCCCTGCTCCTGACTGTATTAATCTCTGCCACTCACTGGGGTCACCTTAACCTTGGCTGGACGGCTGGCCAGCGGGAAGGGGCAGTTTGGCAATAACTCTTCTGGGGGAGCTCTCTGTGTGGACAGAGCATTTGGTCATAAAAGTAACGATTTTGGAGCAGAGCGCGCGGGTAGGGAGCTACGCCGCAAGAATTTATTAAATAGCTTATTCTGCAATAAATGCAGCATAAATTAGAAAAAA